GATCAGTAGTTGCAGCTTGGACTTAGTTGCTGCTTGGCATGTGGGATCTGCCCTGACCAGGGATTGAACCCATGTCCCTTGCATTGGGAAGTGGATTCTTATCCTCTGCTCCACCAATGTAGTCCCCATGCTATCACTGTTATTTGCTATAGTGAAAGAAAGCGAAAGTCGCTCAGTTGTGTCTGACTCATTGTGGCCCCATGGACTATACAGTCTATGGAATTCTTTAGGCCAGAGTACTGGAGTGGGTAGCCTATTCCTTCTCCAGGTGATCTTCCTGACCCAGGAATCAAACCAGGGTCTCCTGCATTGCAGGCGGATTCTTTACCAACTGAGCTATCAGGAAACCCCATACTATTTTTCTTTTTTGATCTCATAGGTATTGCTCCCTGATTCAATCTCTTTGGCACCCCTGTAACAGTGGGGACAATACTCTGAGCCTGAGGTGTGTCCACCAGAGAGTTCAGACTGGTCCTGGCCCTGCCAACAGATGGAGGAATGGCCATCTGTCAGATGGCTGAAGCTGAGGAGCCTCCCAGGAGAGTTTGTCCTTAGATGCAGCAGCAAGTCCTAACTCAGAACAACAAGCTCAGTTCCAAAGCGAAGCTTTAGTCCCTAGAAAAGAAGAATGGGTCTAAGTAGAGCAGAGCCTGAAGACCCTCCCTGAAACTGAGGACTCAGGTCTGTATCCTATAAAGATGTGGGGTGACTAGGGTAGCAGAGATTGGCTCGAAGCTCACCAAACTGTTTTCTTTCCTTCCTATACCCATACCTCCCTGGCAAACCTAATTTGCATCTAGTTAGTTGCTCAGTTGTGTTGACTCTTTGCGACCCCATTGACTGTAGCCTGCAGGCTCCTCTATCCATGGGATTCTTCAGGCAAGGATACTGGAGTGGGTTGCCATTTCCTCCTCCAAGGGATCTTCCCAACCCAGGGATCAAACCTGCATTGCAGGCAGATTCTTCAGCATCTGCACCACAAGGGAAGCCCATTTTGTTTCTAAGTTCTGGCTAAATAAATGTGGGCAGAGGTCACATATATCACTCTCCAGTCCTGGCCCATAAAGCTTCCTGCATGATCAGAAAATACAGATGATCCAGTGGGGGACCTGAAGGCCCTAGGTATGAAGAGGCACCAGGTAGAAAAAGTTGGTTCCCTGAATGACCTGGAGGGATAGAGTCTCAGGGCTGATTATCCCCACCTTCACCTTGACCGTGCCATGAGCAGAAATGACCTGATTCTTGAAAACCACTGAAGTTTTGAGATTGTTGATAATGGCAATAACCTTGCCCCGACTGACTCACTGGGTAAAAACAAATAGCACTGTTCAATGAAAATACTACATTTGACCTTGAAGAACAGGCAACATGGCATTTGTTTTTCTAATCAAGTGTAACACAGAAAGAAGAGGACAGTCTTCACCACCTGCCCCTGCCCTGAACAGCTTTGACATTTCAACAGCGCTCAAATATGAGGTGGCCCTGGCTGGTGGGAGATACAGGAAGAAGTTACAGTTTCTGAAAGGAGGCAGAAATGGCCATGAGGCTTGGGGCGGCTCCAGCGGTGCCAGGAGGGCAGGGTGGCAGCTGCTGTGGACACAGAGGTACCGATTTCAAGAGGAAGTGGTAAAAGCTTGTAGGAGAGTCATGACCAGTAGAACGGAACATATTGTCTAGAGAATGGGAAGTACCAGATGATCAGATTTGCTTATGAGCCCATGTAGGATGCTTGGAGATTGTTGAGCAATACTAGGGCTCCCCTGGTGGCTCTGATAGTAAAGAATCTGCATGCAATGTTTGAGACCCTGGTTCAATCTCTGGGTCAGAAAGATTCCCTGGAGAAGGGAATGGCTACCTACTCCAGTATTCTTGCCTGGAGAATCCCCTGGACAGAGGAGCCTAGTGGGCTACAGTCCATGGGGTTGTAGAGTTGGACACGACTGAGCGACTAACACACTAGGCATCACAATGGTCATAAAAATCAGCAAATACGGTTTTTAACCACAAAGTATCGGCAGCTTAGAAGGGTGAGGAAGAACAATCCCACTGCAGATCCTTGTAGGGAGACTAGAATAGGTTCTGCGGCTTCAGCTGTGACTGTCAGAATTTCTTCTCTTCATGGCAGGCACAGTGGTCAGACAGGGTGGGCTGTCCTCAGGCTTCTCTCCCCAGCCCTCCTTGTTTCACTCCTCCTAGAGAGGTCAGGTTAGAAAGCCAGGAAGTCCGGGTGTTTGCATTTTCCAAGGTGCCCTCAGTAGGGGGGTCTGCGCAGCAAGGCACTTAAGTCTGCCAGGTGACGAGAGAGCATGTCACAGGTTTTCTTTAGGTAAAAGTCTAGGATTCTGATTTGTTCGGTGGCTGCTTTGAATTTTTTCCTGTAATTGAACGAAAGTACATTAAATGTGAGAAACACTGTTTTAAGCTGTGGTTCCTGTGTTAAAATGGGGGGAAAATGTGGAGGGGATGGGAGAGATTTCTGGAGTTAAGAGAGCCAAAGAGGAGGTAAGGTCAGGGAGCCAGGAGGGAGGGACTCCTTGGCATCTGTGTCCCCCTGAAAATCATTTTGGCAGAGCTGGGGTGGTGATGGGGAAAGGGGAAATGCCCAAAAGATTAGGCTTAAAAGGGTTAGAGATGCCGTATCTGTGGGATGCACATACAATTACACACATTTATGTGCTGCAAAAATGTAAGTGCTATGGGTGATGATGGTTTTTTTTTAATGCATGCTATTATTCTCTTTTCTTTTTTAGAATTTTATTTTTATTTATTTGATTTATTTTGGGGGCCACACCTCACAGCCTGTAAGACCTTAGTTCCCTGAAAAGTGAAAGTGAAGGTGTTAGTGGCTCAGTGCCTCTGCATGGACTGCAGCCTGCTAGGCTCCTCTGTCCGTGGGATTTTCCAGGCAAGAATACTGGAGTGGGTTGCCATTTCCTTCTTCAGGGGATCTTTGCCACCCAGGGATCGTACTTAGGTCTTCCACATTGCAGGCAGAGTGTTTACCCTTAAGTCCCTGACCCAGGGATCAAATCTGTGCCCCCTGCAATGGAAGTGTGGATTCTTAGCCACTAGACCACCAGGGATGTCCCAACAGTACAGTTTTAAGCAAAGTTTTAATCAAACTTTGTACAATTTAATTAAAAAATTTTTTTGGCCATATTGTGCGGCTTTTGGGATCTTAGTTACCTGGCCAGGGATTGAACCTCAGTCCAAGGCAATGAAAGCCTGAATCTTCACCATTGGAGCACCAGGAAATGCCCTTGTACAATTTACTTTACTTTCATCACATAAAAAGGGACTTTCACTAAGAAAAATGGACAGATTTTCTCCTTCCCTGCTCTCCTGTGTTTCTGGCTGTTTCAATTCACCGGCATCCTCTCCCAGAAACTCAAGTTCCTATCCTACAGCAGAAACTGATTCTACTCAGCTTAAAGGTTATTTTTCTCAGTCTTTATATCTCAAGAATGTGTTCCAGTTAGCTAATCTGATATCAGGTAAGCCTCTGCTGGTTTACTGTGACCTGTCATGGTGTTTTTCTTAGATGACCCACATAGATGTCAAACGTGGTTTTTAATCATACCTCCAGAGAAGTGTTAGTGGACATTTCGGCAATGGTAGTACACACAAAGAATAAACAACTAATTTTACTAATTTCTTAAAGTATTATTAAATTTATTATTAAGTTATTACATTGTCAGAAAGTAATAAATTATTAATAAAAAGGAGAGCTAACACAAAACACTCAGTGTCACACATGGTTCTGTGTGCTTTGCATGTGTCCATTTAATTCTCAGGAGGGCTTTCTTGTTGGCTCAGAAGGTAAAGAACCGACCTGTAATATGGGGGACCCAAGTTTGATCCCTGGGTGGGGATGATTCCCTGAAGAAGGGCATGGCAACCCACTCCAGTATTCTTGCTGGGCTACAGTCCATGGGGTCACAAAGAGTGGAACAAGTTTGAAGTGACTCAGCATGCACGCCCATGCAAACACGGCCTGGCTCCAGACTCTTCCCTCTGTCGACATGAGTGATATTACACTTTTGTGTGGGGTAAAGTGCGGTGGGGTTAACTGTTAGAATGCTGGGACTACCCTCACAGGACAGGCCTAGGACTGTTTCTCATGCAAATGAGGCAGTCCAAGTGAGAGATCTCTTAGAACTTTTGTTTGCCACTAAGAAGTCACATCACCTTTATAGATCTCAGTTTTCTCTTCAGTAAAACAAGGAGTCTCTAAGGTCTGCTTCAGTTCTAAGATAAGGTCTGCTTCAGTTCTAAGATAAATAATGTCTTCAGCATTCCTGGACTAAATGCCTATCTCTTGGTGCCTGAGGGGAAGAAACAGGTCTGATCTTGCGTCCTTAGACCCTTCAAGCTGGAAGCTGCGGGGTAGGGTGCTGAGTGGATCCCTGTAAAGAACTGGTAACCAGAGATGAAGTTTAGAGCTCCAGGGGAAACCTCGCCTTTAACCTCGGAAACGCAGAGAAACACACTGATTAGGTGCCTGCTGTGTGCTACGCGTTTTAAAAAGATTATGTAATATCATCCTCACAATATGCTCCTGAAGTAGGTGCTATTATCTCCATAAACTTAGTCATACAAGTGACTTGCCCTAGATGGCCCAGCGAGTGAGGGTTGCGGGCGGAATTCAAAGCCGTTTGACTCCAAAGCCCAGGCGTATTTCACAACGCTTGCCTCCTATCTATTATCTCATTCCGTGCTCACTGCAAGCCCGTGGGCTGTATCAGATCCCCATTTCACGGAGGAGGAGAGTGAGGCTCAGAGCGGTGAAGTGACCTGCTCAGTAAGGCATCTTTCCCGGAGCGGGCGGGTGGAGGGGCAGGAGCGCGCACGTGGGCGCGGAGGCGGCAACGGGCTCCTCCTCCAGGCTCTGCCACGCTGCCCGGCTCCCACCTTTTCAGGTCCCGGCCCCGCGCACCTCGACTGCGAACTACATTTCCCGGCAGGACGCGAGCTCGCGCACGCGCACCGGGGCCTCCACCATGGCGACCGTGCTGTCCAGGGCGCTCAAGCTCCCCGGTAAGCTGCAACCTCGCGACCACCCCGCCCGCGCCGGTCTTGGGGAGGTGGGGACTCCAGGCTCCTGGGGGCGAAGCCTATCGGGGCCTGGCCCCAACCAGAGCGGAGTTGCAGGCGCGCGGAGGCTAGACGGTGAAACCTCCCGCGGGCTGGGGTCCACGCGCCAGCAGGGGGCAAAAGAGGCGCTCGGCGGGTCGGGGGTCGCAGGCGCGGGGCGAGCCTGGGAAACGCGGGGAGGAAGGACCCTGAAGGCGCGCCGCGATGGTAGCCTGGCGCTGCGGCGGCGGCGGCGGCGGCGGCGGATGTCAGGGCGCGCGTCGCCGCTGTCCCCAGGGGAGGGCGATGAGGTTAGCATCCTTTCCCGAGCGCCGCGAAGGACTTACGGGAGGGTCTCCAACTCTTTCCGTCTTGGGCTGGACTGGGGGTTGAGGGCAAGGGAGTGGCAGGATGGCGAGTGACCCCTTTGGAGCAGCCTCTCCATTTAATGACAACATTGATGCTGCGGTGAGGTAGATGGAACAGGTATTTCCCCTCCTGAAAAATAAACTATTTGTCAAATTGACTTGTCCAGGGTCGCACAAACAGCATAGGAAAAGCCTGGACTTGAACATGTGGGGTCTTCTGACTCTAGATTCTGGGCCTTGGGTTCCATTTGTTCAACCTCAGGCTCTCAAGCCTGAGCATTTATGAGGGTAATTTATTTGCATCCGTAAGTTGCAGATAATGGATGGAATATTATTTTAAGGAGGCACTAGTGGTGAAATCAACTTGCAGAGCTAATTCAGTACTTGGGGGCAACAGCTCCAAGTTTTTGTTTTTCCTATTAAACCTCCAGGATGGAACTGTCCTCCTAGAAACTTGCTATTTTAATAAAAGTGTATTTATTCTGCTCAAATAAATTTTAGATTTTAAGGCTTTGGAAAAATGTATGCTTTTATCTAAATAAGTTTGTTGTTGTTTTTGATGTGGACCATTTTTAAACTCTTTATTGAATTTGTTACAGTATTGCTTCTGTTTTATGTTTGTTTTTTTTTTTGGCTGTGAGGCGTGGGGGATCTTAGCTCCCCTACCAGGGATCAAACCTACAACCCCTGTGTTGGAAGGCAAAGTCTTAACCGCTGGACCACCAAGGAAGTCCCACCTAAATACATTTTTAAACATTGAACTATAAACTGTTTGTTTGCTGATAATCTTAAGTTGTTTGTGAGAAGCGCAGTTGCTTCCCCAGCATGGGTAGGGAGAGCTGATTGGGTGTCTGGCAGATACCTTGTGGAAGGTCCCTGTTCTCAAGGAGTTTCCAGTCTGCCATATTGTCCCACGAATGGCACTGGGTTGGTTGTGAATTTAATGTGAATTTGCATTTCTGTCCCCAGATTTCATAACTTCAGACACTTTTTCCTTGCACATGGTCTCATTAGAACTTTGGAAGGAACGTTGATCTCTGTTGGAGTGTGTATGTAACATTGGAATAGAATGGGGATATTCCTTTACCTGCAGGATTTATTTTGAAGAGAGTAGCCGTGTATGTCCTTAATGTAGGATAGTGTCCTCCTACAGGCTTCTCAGGCGACGCAGTGGTAAAGACTCCACTCAGAAGACTCGGCTTCAGTCCCTGTGTTGGGAAGATCCCCTGGAGGGGGAAATGACAACCCACTCCAGTATTCTTGTCTGGAGAATCCCATGGACAGAGGCGCCTGGCAGGCTCTAGTCCATGGGGTCACAAGAGTCAGACGTGGCTGAGCACGCCTACATAGCACAGCATAGACATCCTTCTAAGGGGTAATGGGATGTCAAACGTATTTAGCTTTGTTTCTCCTTTTCTTTTAGATTCTTTCCCCACCTCCCGCCCCCTCTGAAGTGAAGTGAAGTGAAGTGAAAGTTGCTCAGTCGTGTCTGACTCTTTTCGACCCCATGGACTATACAGTCCATGGAATTCTCCAGGCCAGAATACTGGAGTGGGTAGCCTTTCCCTTCTCCAGGGGATCTTCCCAACCCAGGGATCGAACCCAGCTCTCCTGCATTGCAGGCAGATTCTTTATCAGCTGAGCCACAAGGGAAGCCCCGTGCCCCCTCTCGTATAGGTAATTGTCATTCTCAAAGGCTGGAAATGCAAAACAAAAACTCTTGCTTTTGAAACTCTTGAGCTCTCTTGCATGCTGAGGCTTCATCGTTAATCCTGGAGTATTCAGTTACAGTAAATGTGTCAGCTGACCAGGTAGGGGAAGCACAGTCTGGTCCTGGACGTGTGTGTGTGTGGACGGCAGTAGGGCCCTGAGCTCTCAGGTACTCTTGATACTTTTAGGTCCCAGTTGTTGTTGCTCAGTTGCTAAGTCATGTCCTACTCTTAGTGACCCCATGGACTGCAGCATGCCAGGCTTCCCTGTCCATCCCCAACTCCTGGAGCCTACTCAAACTCACATCCATTGAGTTGGTGATGCCATCCAACTGTCTCGTCCTCGGTTGTCGCCTTTCTCCTCCTCCCTTCAATCTTTCTCAGCATCAGGGTCTTTTCCAATGAGTCAGTTCTTCACATCAGGTGCCCATAGTATTGGATCAGCATCAGTCCTTCCAATGAACATTCAGGATTGATTTCCTTTAGGATTGACTGGTTTGATCTGCTGGCTGTCCAAGGGACTCTCAAGAGTGTTCTCCAACACCACAGTTCGAAAACATCAATTCTGCGGTGCTCAGCCTTCTTTATGGCCCAACTCTCACATCCATATATGACTACTGGAAAAACTATAGGTTTGACCACACAGACCTTTGTCGGCAAAGTGATGTCTCAGATTTTAATATGTCATAGTTTTTCTTCCAAGGAGCAAGCGTCTTTTAATTCCATGGCTACAGTCACTGTCCACATTGATTTTGGTGCCCCGAAAAATGAAATCTGATACCGTTTCCACTTTTTCCCCATCTGTTTGCCATGAAGTGATGGGACCAGATGCCATGATGTTCCTTTTTCAAATGTTGAGTTTAGGCCCAGGTACAAAGGCTGTGTGTTTTTTAGGTGATGTGGGTCTTTTGGGTTTTTGCTCATGCTTTTGCTTTTCTCCCTCTTGCCCTCTCTCCCTTCTACCACAAGTACAACTGTTAGCTTTTATATTAGATAGAAGTTGCTTTCTGATAGCTCTTTTTGGGTACCCTGTAGTTGGGTCTGTGAAGCTGTTATCCTGCTTTGGCTACTGTATCATGTTACTTTAGTTAACATCCTCACTATTTTTTTTTTTTTACATTGATTATCATTGATGTATAACACTGTATTAGTTTCAGGTATACTAATGATTTGATATTTGTAGATATTGCAAAATCACCACAATGACATCATGACTATTTTTATGTGTAAGGAAGCAGACTAGAATGGTGGTGAAGAGCATGAGACCGACTTGGATTAATCCACTCCTTATCAGATTCTCTTTAACCTTTAGTTTCTTCATATGTAGTAATAATATTATTATGGAACCTTTCACTGTTAGCCACACAGTAGGGTTATTTGGCATAGTAAAAGAAATGGATGTGCTTAAGAAGTTTGTTGACCTTTGATACGTGTTAATTATTCAGTGTCAGCCATTATGATCTTCATCATTAGCACCATGATCTTTACAAATGTGGTAACTGGAGGGAGACCTGATGTAATGTGCTCATGGCCAGTGTCCATCAACCTGTCGAAGAAAGAACAGTTCCTGGGATGTCTTTCAGTTGCATATCCTTTCATCAAGCTCAAGATGGAAAGACGTTTGGCTGACATGCGTAGAATGCGGTTAATTAGTAACAGAAGGACAATGTGAGATTCATAAAGCAGCTGGTGGGGCAACTTATTACTTAAGAATATATATTTTTAGTCCATTTAAAAGTTTAAAGTTCAAACACTGAAGGGAATAGAAAAGCATAATGTTATTGTAATGGTTTGTTTTATTATGTTTAACTTAGAATGCTTCTGTGCCCTTGGATAAACTAATTCATGATGGGAATGATTTACCTTTAGTTGCAGTAGAGTGTAGGCGATAGTCTGTGTAAAGTATAGTGCATGTCACAGAGGAGGATACATTATAGTATGTTTTCCTGAGAACACTTGGGGCTGGTATAGTTGCATCTCTTTTCTATTGGTATTTTCCTCTGTCTCATTTTGGGATTGCTATTTGCCCAGCATCCTCTCTCTTTCTAAAAGTGACAGTCGTGGGAAGCTTATTTACACTGATGTATTCTGAAATCGGGCTTCCCAGGTGGCACTAGTGGTAAAGAATCCACCTGGCAATAAGAGACACAGGTTTTATTCCTGGGTCGGGAAGATTCCCTGGAGAAGGAAATGGCAACGCACTCGGACAGAGGAGCCTGGCAGGCCACAGTCCATGGGGTTGCCAAGAGTCGGACACAAATGAGTGTCTGAGCACATTCTGAAATCAGTGTCCTCTCTTTATTTTCTGAAAACCTTTCATTGACTAAAAATGTGGGTGGTGGCTGAAATCAGCAGACAAGAGGTTGGTAAAGTTCCCTGAGCTTTGAAGCACGGATTGGATGTCTACTCCTCAGCCTGAGTATAACTTTAGGCGAGTGATGTACTATATATTTCACTCTTTTGCTGTGAATAGATAGAAAAAAAATTTTACTTAGGACTTCTCTAATTAAAACTTGCTGTAATAATTAAGTGGAAGGTCGTTTTTGCATGTTCTGGAAAAATACATATTAATAGTAAAAAAGTCAATATTTAGTTTCCTGTGTAATTTGGCCAAGCACTGGTTATAATCTGTGATCCCTTAAAGAAAGCGTATGTGATCTTTTGTGCTTGCCTCTGTACTTCAGAAATATCATGTCTGGGTCAGTTCTTGGATTTTGTGGTCCCATTTTCTTTCTCTGAGGATTTTTCCATATTGCCACACTGTCATTTAGTAATGTGTTTTACTGTGGAGAAGTTAGCCTGATTTTTGTTCCCACTGTTAGTGACTTGTTTCTTTTCCTCTTGGGCCGACTGGCTGCTTACAGGATTCTGTGTTTGTCCTTCAAGT